GGGGGGGGGGGGGGGGGTCAACGGGGGAGGCTCGTCCGCGCGAACCCTTCGCTTCGTCGCCGTGTCGTGGAACTCATCGGTTTCTTAATGTTTTTTTTTTTCCCTTTTTGTTTAATCGTATGCGTATCGCTGTAATATTCCTTCTTCTTCCTTTTATGTAATGTATCGTTATAATGTTCGTGTAACAATAAAGCAATATGCAAATGGTATGAAGACTTCTCGTTCGAAGGTGGCTGTTAGCGCGTTCCGTGCATTCGCGCGGGGGAATCCCATTAGCTCTACTAAAGACACTTCGCCCTTTTTTCTTCTTTTTACGTATTTCTATCTAACGCATTTTCTCTCTCTCTCTCTCTCTCTCCCTTTTTCAGTTTCCATCTCTTACACACACACACACACACACACACACTTTCTCTCTCTCTCTCTATTTTTCTTTCATTCGCGTCCACATTCTCTCGCACTCTTTGGCCCGACCGAAGTAATCTCGCTATCGAAGATATCAACGCACCGCAACATCTCATTCCCTCAAATATGTAACAACGCTCACAGAGTGCTCACATAATATGTTCCTGTGTAAACTGTCGTTCGTTCTCCTCATTCATTGAGATTCTGATCGATTCCAAGTGCTATCGCTCAACAATTAACTTGAGGACGGAACGTACGACACTCTGATGTTCGGACAGACAGACAGACGAGATTCCTCGATGTACTGCGAAGGTAACGAAGTTGCGTTTGATTTTTTTCGTTTCTTTCTTTTTTCCTCACAATTCTTTCAAGAAGAAAGCACCGAATTTCCAAATTGGCCGAGAAACGTGTGACCGAAAGGATATTCGCGGGTGGGCCTCGGAACGCGTCGTGCGGTAAACAGCGATTTTTCCTTCGTATCTGCCGAGTCTCGATCGAACGCGTCGTCTTAGCACGAAACCGCTGCTTCCGTTATATATATCCCGCATTTCTCACATGACAGAGTAATCATAGTTCTTAGCGCTATCCGAATTATGCGGATCGTGCCCGTCACCATCAGCACAACATTAACGAGCGCTTCCGCTCGAGTCGCCGCGATGCGGCCGACGTTCTTATTACTTTACGGAACTTAATTGAAGAAAATCTCTCTCTCTCTCTTTCTTTCTCTTTTTCGCACTATCACTCGTAAAATTGAAGCGCATCCCTTCTCTTTTTCTCTCTCTCTTACTCGGTTTCTCCCATTCTCTCTTGCCCTATTTCTCCCCTTTCCCGATCCCCTATATATATATATATATAGGGCATCGAGAAAAAAAAAAAAATATATATATGTATATATATGACCACCTATTTTTCCTATCACTTTTCCAATC